GTAGTATTTGAGCCCGAAGATCTCCGATATGATTGCGAAAATCAACGGCCATTGAGCCCCGAAGCAGAACCCGATTATCACGGAGGCGAAGTAGAGGGAGTTCGGGATCGCGAAGGCGATCAAGAGATGGCCAATGCAGGAGAAGAGGAGCACAAAAGTTAGCATAAGTGGGCGTGGGAACTTGTATTTGGTCAAGAAGATTTCGGAGGCAAAGCCTGAGGCTACTCTCCCAAGGTAGTTCCATATGCTCACAAGGGAGATGAATGTGGTTGTGCTGTGACTTGGGTAACCCAACGAGTTTCCGATCTGACCGAGGTTGTCAATTGCCGTCAACGTTCCGCCCACGCCGCAGATCGTTGCCACAAAGAGGATCAGCATGTCGGCGCTGAATAGCCCCTGCAAAATGGTGTAGTCCTCGCCTCTCTCTGGCGGGTTGAAAACGTCACTGAAGCAAGAAGTGTGCTTCTGATCCGGAGCAGGACTGGAAGGTAATTCGGGCGTTTTTTCGGCTACCACAATTTCTAAATTAGAAGTACTGGAACTCTTTCGGAGAAGCAACTCTTCTTTGATGACAATTGCAAGTGGTAGAAAGAGTAAAAAGAGAACAATTGAAGAGCAACCAACATACTCAACTCTACTAAATCTTAGCTTGTTTTGGATTATGATCAAAACCATTAGGAACCCAGCAAGGCTAAGAGAAATATAGAGGAGATGGTAGAAGACCTTGAGCTCATTCTTCGCTTGTCCGACGCTCGACGCTCTTTATGGTCCGAATTATCCGGAGAAAAACGAAGGAAACAGCGGCGGGGAGCCAAGCAATAAGCAAGATGAGAGACTTTGTGTCGTCTCCATAGAAAGCATGGTACAATTGAGTTATAATAGCACCACTTAGGCCAACAAAGCCCTTCAATAGCCCCAACACACTTCCTCTACTCCCAGGGAAGTTCTTGACACAAGTCACAATAGCTCCTGTATTGGCATAAGTTTGAGAATTAGCCCCAACACAAATGTACAAGCACATTTGCCACACCCGGGGCTTGGTAATCCGACCGGTGACCGCCAGCCAGATCATGAAGTAGCCGGAGAAGTTCATGACGACTCCGGCGGAGAGCACCACCCACGGTGGCATAATCTCGTTGATCAGCCCCGCAAAGATGCCGACGTTGGCCCCCAAGTCCTTGAAGAAGCTCAAGAGGTTGAGTGTGGTTTGGTCATATCCTAAAGAGGTCTTGATGTCTGTGGAGTAGAGGCCAAACATGTAAGTTGCACCAGAAGCTGACAAGATTAGTAATGAGGCAAAGAACATGAACCATCTTCCTAGAAGGACTTGGTAACTGAAACTATGGCGAAAACCGCCATAACCGGTGGTGAAAGAAGCTAATTCAACCATGTTTCACTACTTTCTTTCTTTCTTTTGGTTCAGCTTTGAGTTATAGCCGTATGTTATAGCAAAGGCTCGTATATATAATACAAGTACTACACAGAGTTTTATATTGACTAGCTAGATGAAGAAAATAAAAAAAGATAAAAAACATGTGGGAGATTCAAGGTTCAATGATTTTTCAATCTGTAGTGATATGGTTCTTGGGATTATGTGGCCCAGATGCTAGAAAATGATGGGTAACATATTTCCTGAATTGATTCTAGGGAAATTCCATTTTAACAACTCTTGTTATTCCTTTCTAGTGTATTCCGGATATAAAAAGGATAAGTGCTAGCAAACTTCCCAAAATTTGAGCTAACTGTGACAGGTACTGCCACTACTATTATTAGGATAATTCTCATATAGATATTTAAAAAAAAATACTCCACCGCATAATTTAGTTTTAAAATCAATTTAATATGATTTTGATAGTGTGACCATTCAAAACTATATCATATCGAGAGTGTTTTGTCATACTCTTTCGTAGAATTCTCCTAATTTATTATAATTTTTTTTTTTTGATGAAAAATGACATGCATCTTAAAAAATATATATATAAATAATTAAGGGTAAAAAAATTTTAAGACAAAAGGTCATTTCAGTTATACAAAAGCTACAGATTTTGACACGTGCACAATTATGTTGTTTATGATAGAATGTTTTGACATATGCCGTTGCTCTTTCTTGAGCAATATGCTCAAAAGATTTTGGTGTAAGTGGCTTGTTATGCGGCAAAGTTTGACATGAATACCAAAAGCTGATAAGGTTTAAACCTAATTGATAAACAAACACAATATTTTGGGTGCTGTCCACACTCCCATTATTCTTCCTTGAAGAATTTGTGCCAAAAGAAAAAAAAAAGAAAGGTTGGCCGATGAATGAGAGAATCTAAGCTTTTAAGCCTAAAACAATTTTGCCCTACCGAAAGCATCTTGGGGTGATCTCGCAGTTCTTACGGGGTGGAGACGATGGGTCCAAACCAGCCATGAGCCCCACACACACATAAAGAGAAAAAGATACATAACGACCAAAAGGTGATTCATGAACCCTCAAAATCTCACATTTAACAGAAACAATGAATGCTCAAAATACCCACCCTATTCAATTTCCAACCAAACACTTCTGGTTGAATGTTAAACTTGCATTGTGTTTGAATGATAAGGTCACTAGCTGCGTTATTAGGGCTGTTGGGTTGGTGCGGGATAGGATTTTTTCTTTCCCCGCTTTAAAAGGTACGGGTTGCACATATTTAGCCTCAACGATGTTAGAAAAATTTCACAACCCAATGATGTTTGGGTTGGGTTGGGGTGGTGCGAGATGGGTTGGATGGTCGGTTTCAACATTCAAAGAATCAAAGACTCAAAGTTCAATCAAACATCAAACATGAAGCAAAGTAGTCCATCCAACATCAAACATAAAGCAAACATAAATTAGTCTACACTCATAAATTAGTCTTAACATAAAGCAAACATAGATGCTTAATTTAAATATGAAGAAACTAGATAGTAGAAATGAGTTGTCTGCCTAGGGTTAGATATTAGAAGAGATAAGTTAGAGTGTGAGTTGGGTTGGGGTATACGGGCCATTATAGGCCCAACCCACACCCCGTCCTAAAACTTCGAGCCAGACATTGGGCCACAAAAAAAAAATTTAATATTAGAAATTACATTTTTCGAGTTGGGTTGGGGTGGGTTGAGCCTATGGATTTTGTGAGTTTATGAACAACCCTATGCGTCATATTCTTGCCCCTTTTCGAAATAGACATAACATTATGGATGTGGAATGCAAGACCATGCACAAAATAGCACAGCTATGTAATGAATATTAAAAAGGAGAGTTAATTATAAAAAATGAAAAACCAAAAGAAAATTCAAAACTCCTATTGATATAATTTGAGTTTGACAATACAATCATATTGTTGGACCACAATATGTTTACGTTGTGTTAGAAATCAATTTTACACTTCATGTGTATGACTATTAAGGAGAAATGAATAATATTTCAAGGTGGGATTCTGATGATTCCGTGTCTTAGCTGAATACTTCTAACAAAAATGTTGTTGATTTTTCTGAAAATAGATTTAAAAATTGACTGAGAGTGGAGTGATTTCTGCTTATTATTCTAATTTGGTGATTATGGATACGTTTAGATCTAGTCTTAATTATAAAATAAATCGACCAAGTTTGTAATCGTTTTGATCATTTTTGTGTGTAACATCGACACCAATTCTAAAAATTAAAAAATTGCAACCTTAACAATTTTAAACTTAGCAAACATTTTAAATAATTTTATGCCTCACATAAATTTTTTCAACTAAAGAAATACTACTTCTTTGGGGGTGAATGGAGAAATGCCACTTTTTTTTTTTTCATTTCAAACCAATCACTTTCATCATTTAAAATACCAAAATTAATCACCCCAAAATAAACTCAAAAATTTCCCTTTCTATTTCTCTTCTCTCGCACCAATGCTCCTTTCTCTTTTCAACTACCGCCGCAGATAATCTCAATCTTTAACCTACTGAGGAAAGTTAATATCGTTTGACCAATGAAAAATCACATCTATTCATTTTAATTTGCAATATCCATACATTCTCTTTGATGTTGGAACTAAAGATAACATTGATTGACCAAGGAAAACCCATTAATTCTTTGATTTTCAGCTAACGAGAACACTGATTAAATGGAAGAAAAAAAAAATAGAAAAGAGAGATTGCCAAAGAGAAGAGGAAGTTGATCAAGTGAAAGGTGAAGAGTGATAAAATTGTCTTTTTATTATCCAAAAACGGTATATGTCAAGCAATCCATAAAAATGTGGCTCTTAAAGTCGTAGAGAGCCTAATTATCTCCTTTTATAATGTACCACCAACACTCATATTCTAACCGTATAGATGTGGGACCAACGGCCAATGTTGTACCAACGAGAGTCGTATACAACATCTACTTCATGAATACGTAACATGAAGGAAAAAGTACATACATATATATATATATATATGGTTTCTAATTCGGTACCGGATTAGAGCGGCACATATATATATATATTTTTAAAATATGTATATTTTCTTTTAAAATATATATATGTGAGGAGACATCTATAATTTATCTAAATAATTATATATACGTTTTAAGAGAAAATATACATGTTTTTAAAAGAAATATATATGTGTCGCTCCAATCCGGTATCGGATTGGAGAATTTACCTATATTTTATCTATATATATATATATATATATATCGTTTTAGATTTTAAAATATTTGTGCTAGTTGTTGATACACTTGCAGATTATTTGCGAGTGGGTTTGAACAAGAAGTAACTGTGGTTTAGCATCCACCCTGCTTAATATCCAATCTCCAGTAAGTTGAAGACGGATTAATTTTCATCTCTCTCATTTTTATTTCTTTTTTCTCGTTTTTTTCTCGTCCTCTTCGATCTAGACTTTTGATGTATAGGCAAGGGCCTGACTCACCATGATAGGTTCTTTTCAAAAACAAACAAACCGAATGTACAAAGTCCTTAACAATAAGCTTAAAAGAAAAGAAAAAAAAAAAGCTAAAATACAACAATATATCGGCCTGCATGATAAATAAGTAGAGTTTGTAATTGTGCATGACATTGCTCACCAACCAAGAACACAAGAAACTAGATTCCCTCCAAACAAGTAGTCCAAGAAAGTTCATAGATGTTTAACATCCGATATATTAATCACAAACTTGGACCTAGTCATGTGTTTATTAGTTGCAACTCTACAAATCATCACTACGTGGTCCCGAAAAAAACAATGGCGCTTTTCAATTCTTGGCAAGAGTTGAGGCTCTTTGCTTTACAAGTATTTGCAGGCAAATGGTTCATGGTCTTTGCCACAATCTTGATAATGAGCGTCAATGGATCGAGTTACATGTTCGGTCTCTACTCAAACGACATCAAATCGTCGTTGGGCTACGACCAAAGTACCCTCAACTTGATAAGTTTCTTCAAGGACTTGGGAGGCAATTTGGGGGTCTTGGCGGGACTCATCAATGAGGTCTCGCCCCCTTGGGTCGTCCTGTCAGTCGGTGCAGCTATGAACTTCTTTGGCTACTTCATGATATGGATGTCCATAGCCGGGCACATTGCAAAACCCCATGTTTGGCAAATGTGCCTTTACATCTGCATTGCTGCGAATTCGCTCTCTTTTCCCAATACTGCTGCGTTAGTTGCCTGTGTGAAGAATTTCCCAGAAAGCCGAGGCAGTGTTATAGGCTTCTTGAAGGGGCTGATTGTCCTAAGTGGTGCGATCTTGACGCAGCTCTACCACGCCATCTATAAAGATGATTCGGAGGCTCTTGTCTTGCTCATCGCGTGGCTTCCAGCCGCTGTTTCCTTGGTTTTTCTTCGAACAATTCGCATCATGAAGCGCGTCCGACAACCAAACAAGCTAAGAGTCTTCTGTAACTTTCTCTATGTGTCACTTGGTGTTGCAGCATCTCTCATGGCCTTAATTATTATACAAAACAGGCTACGTTTTAATAGACTCCAGTATGCTGCGAGTGCTTCTGTAGTTTTGGTCCTACTCTTCCTCTCACTTTATGTTGTTATTAACGAAGAACTGAAGTTGTGGAAGCACAAGAAGCAGGGCCAAACAGACCCTTCCAAATTCACTTTAATGACCGAAAACCCTCGAATATCAGAACCACCATCGCATGTTAATGAAAACCCAGAAAGCTCGGAGCCACAACCTATAACAAACAGAGCTTTGGTGAGTTCACAAATGCCATACTTATGTTGGGTAAAGAAAATCTTCAAGGCACCAGATAGAGGTGAGGATTACACCATACTGCAAGCGGCTTTCAGCATTGACATGATAATTCTCTTCACCGCCTTAACTTGCAGCGCCGGGGGTTCGTTGACAGCAATCGACAATTTGGGACAGCTAGGTAGCTCCTTAGGCTATCCAGGTCACAGCATCACGACCTTCATATCACTCGTGAGCATATGGAATTTTCTTGGACGAGTCACTGCAGGCTTCGCCTCTGAAATTCTCTTGGCAAAGTACATGTTCCCTCGTCCCTCAATGCTCACTGCAGTGATTCTTCTCTCCTGTGTTGGCCATCTCCTCATAGCCTTCGGTGTCCCACATTCTCTTTACTTTGCTTCAATAATCACAGGGTTCTGCTATGGAGCTCAACTATCATTATTATTTGTGATCATATCCGAACTCTTTGGCCTCAAATACTACTCCACACTTTACAACGTTGGGGCTCTTTCGAGCCCCCTCGGGTCTTACATTTTCAATGTGAAAGTTGCTGGTCACTTGTATGACAAAGAGGCTCGAAAGCAGATGGAAGCTCTTGGCCTTGTGAGGAAAGCTGGACAGGAGCTGACATGCAATGGAGGGAGGTGTTACAAGATGGCTTTCCTAGTAATCACGGTGGCGACATTGTTCGGGTGCCTTGTTTCATTTATTTTAGTGCTTCGGACAAGAAGGTTTTACAAAAGTGACATCTACAAGAAATTTAGAGAGGAAAAGGGCGAGACTGAGATCATGTCCACCGGAAATGGCAACACACTGGTAGAAATAGAAAACAGTGCCGCTGTAAGCACCAGTTCTACTCTCACTGTTGCTGCACCACCAGAAACACAACCTCGAGCCAACAAAGAACCATAGATATACCAGTGAAACCGTGACCATTTTATTTGGCTTATGAAAATTTTGGCAATATATTCCCGCTCGTATTACCTCAGTACTTGAAGTGCCTTCCCAATTGCTCCAACTTTCCTTTTTGGAAAAAATCGACTACAAATAACAACGGCCAGACTCCCATAAATAGGGTCGTTAATGGAATTCTAAACTAAACTTTAACTACCTTAGTCTTAAAAAGGGATATCTTGAACAAGCAGAATAAAAAACACAGTATACCGGCGGAGTAAGCAGCCGTACAGTTTACCACCCGCTCGGCTAGAAAACGCAACAGTTACCATAAGAAAACAGGAAAAGGGTCAAAAGACATTATGCATTCCCTTTTGTTGTCTGCCTGTCTTGTGAGAAATTTAAACAGCATCTCATACCAAGAAAACAGTTAATTCCAAAGTTTTAACCATCCACAAAAGTCTCTCAACCCGCCTCATATTTCGATAAACAATATGCATTGCTAGTTCAATTCAATTTCCTGTCCCTTTCTCACTGAAGTAAGAATCAACCATAACATACCCAAATTGAGTTCTAGACATTCAAGTTTGACAACTTCCAAATTCCAATCATTTAAAGCTAAGAAAGAAACAAGAGAACTACATTAGGTCGATCGCAACAGACAAAGCAACTAGCTACGCAATGCCTCCTTCACATGAATCAGAAACTGAAAAGCAGACAAACTGGTGTCATCTGAAAGTCATCCTAACAAAGAAACTGACCACCCGCCTCAGTACCGATCGTATGATGATAGATGGTCTACCCTTCGGTGACGGTCATAAGGACCGGTTCTATCCCTATAGCTTCCCCTGTCCAACCGGTCTGGCCCTCCACTTCCATACCTGTCACCACCAAGTCTCAGCCCTCCATCCCTGAAATAACCTCTGTCACTGCCATACTCATTTTGAAGTTCCCGATCGACATATCTGTCACCTGCATAGCCTTCACGAGCAGGTGCATACCTGTTATATCTATCACTGCCATAACGGTCATGGCTCTCGTACCGGCTATCTCTAATATTCAAATGATCCCTGTCTCCATAACGCTCCCGGCTGAAGTGATCATCATAAGGGTCCAACCTGAAACGATCTCCACGGCCGCCACCTCTGCCAGAGCCAAACTGCGATGAGAAACGCCCCCCACCATCGCCCAAAGGGCACTCACGTGCAAAATGTCCAGGATGACCGCACTTAAAACAGTCGGAACGCCCTGCCAATCTGTCTCCTCCCCTGTGACTGCCACCTGAAATGTAGTCCCTGCCATACTCAAAACCAACATCCTCGTCACTAACTTTTGGCTTCGCCTTGTTCACCGAGATAACCCGGCCGTCTAACTCCCGACCATCCATATCATTGATTGCATTGTCCATAGCTCGATGATCAGCAAAGGTTACAAATCCAAACCCGCGAGGGCGGCCCGTGTCTCGGTCCGCCACAACCTAAAGTGAAAACAACCTTAACCTCATCATGATACTGAACTACAAATCTCTCTCAGGACCACAAGTGAGTAGTGAGTTAAGGCACCAACAAGAATTACATTTGAAGCGAAAAAACCAATCATCAATTACATTTTAGCAAACTAGCAAATCGAACAGCCAAAGTAACAAAGTAATCATGAACCAAAAATCACAGAAAATACTATGGAATTAGGTAAACACATAGAAATAACTCTATATTAACTCAAAAAGTACATAAATTTTGCATAAAAATTGGACAATAACCATATCATGATTAAAGGCACAAACTTCCACAAATTAAAATAAAATAATGAACATAAAGCATAGGAAACCAAAAAAAAATAATAATAATTATGATCCTCAATTTTGCGCCAGATAATTAGCCAGAACAAGAAATCTGAACAAATCATTATTAAAAAATTGAAGTCTAAACGAAAAGAAAGATGAATTTTCATACCACACATTCGAGAATTTCGCCATAGCGACTGAAAGCGTCTTGAAGGTGTCGATGAGAAGTCTCCCATGCCAATCCTCCCACAAATACACGATTCTCTTCTCTCCCAACCATATCTCACAGGATGTTCCGATGTTCCGAAATTCAATTATTACCAAAACACTAAAATAAAAAGAAATTATTCAGTTCTGGAGAAAAACCCTTACCGATGAGAGAGAGAGAGAGAGAGAAGCAGAAACTTCTACCACCGGTGTGAGTTTGCAGCTTCGTTTCTTCCGATGTTTGACCGTACGAGGTCACAAAGTTCGGTGGTTTTAATTTAGGTTAAAGAAAAGTAATGATGGATGAATGATAATAAAGTTCGAAAGGGGCAAAGATACAATTTTTTATGATTAATTACAAAAATTTTCTTTTAATTATATCACTTATAATACTTTGCCTCTTCGTGTTTAAAATGTAAGATTTATTCTCTATAAATAATGAAATATTAACAAAAACAACTCTTTATATTAGATTTTTTTACGAAAATTAACATTTAATTTATTATTTTATGGTTTTTGTAAGGTTTAAAATTAATTTAAATTTAAACTTTTAATTATAATACATCTTAAAAATTTTATGAATCTTTTTTGGTAGAATAAAAAGATTTATGAATTTTTTTTATATCTAAGTTAGTTTAAATTCAAATTAAATTTTAAACCATAGATTTACTAAAATACTCTCAAAATATCAAATTAAATGTTCATTTTAGTTAAAAACCTAACATATTGGGCTTTTTTATAAACATTTTATTGTTTAAGAGAACAATAGTTACGTTTTAAAAATCAAGGACAAAGTATTACAAGAAATATAATTTAAGGGGAACTTTTGCAATTAATCCAATTTTTTATGGAGGTTATCAATAAATAAGTAAATATTTTAAAAATAATATTAATTTTAATTATTTGCTTTTGTATTTCACTAATACTTTTTATTCATTTAACAATTATGTATTCATCAATAGTTGTTGCTAGTTATAAACATTTATAGATGCAATTTTTGATGTTGATTATGATATGATTTTCTTATTATATTTTTCTTTGAACCAATTTCATAATGAAAGGAGTGCCATTAATTTCTGGGATATTAGTTATTATTTCAACAGGGTAAAAAAGCAAAGAAGATTAGTAGCAAATTGAATAAGTTATTATAATGTGAACATCTATACATCTAACTTTTAAAAAATTAATTTAACGATTAAAAATAACAATTTTACATGTAGAGTAAAAATACATTTTCATTTCTAAATATTGGCAAGCCCATACGACCACACTAATTAGCAGCTTGTGGCTGATCAATGAGAATTTGAAAATGAACTCGAAAATTGGCCCTTCAAAATAGAGCAACGCTAATGATGAATCTCGATGGTAAATTGCCTCTTTTAAGCGATACTGTACTCATTCCTGGCTAAAGAAAATGGTACCTATTTTTAGTTTTTGAACCAAAGTACTCTGTGGTTGAAATAATAATAACCTGTTCTTGAAAACCTGATTAATCACATTAAACAAGTACAAAATGTGTGTGTATATATATATATATATATATATAAAATCGGTAGGCTAAATTTTTTGTCCGTTAAATCTGTATAAAATCACGTAAAAGTCAAAAAATAAATAGATTTAACGATATTAAAAAACTTGACCTACCGATACGCTAGGTATACCAGAGAATCTCCCATATATATAGGTAAAATTTTATGTCTAGCATTCATACAGTCCAACAAATGTAACTTTTTTGTATATACATGTAATATCATTAATTTGTGTGTGCATTTTTTTTATACTCGTGTAACAATCAGGTTTCGTTCATTTCACCGATTTGAGTTTAGAATTTGAGTTTTGTTACAGTTAAAAGCTCTTAAAAACAGTCACATTTAATTTTTTTATTACAGTAAAAAACTTTTATATAAAATTATATTTTAACTCAAATTAAAAATTTAAATTAATGAACTAAACGGGCTCTCAATTTTATGTGTTGAACTATATTTATTGAATGGTACACAAAAGTTTAAAGCAAACTGAATTTTATACATACATGCAAACAACGCTACACGGACACACGAAAAGTTACACGTGTCTCACTGGTCCTGCAGCCGCACTTAAGATAATTCTTATTATATATGCACAATATACATATAGGGTATTGATTCCCTCCAGACGGCTGGAGAATTTAAGCTTTCTGATTTTGGCCACTTAGATGGCAATGGATGGACAAGATTAACTGAAGGGCGTTTCACCAACAACCGGCTAAATCCCCGATAAATGAAATGGAAGAAACAACACAACACCTCATTGAGTTTTTAATTCGAGCAGAGATGTGATATTTTTTAAGAGCTTTTAACTATAACAAAAAAATAGTCATGTTCATTTCACCTATTTGAATTTAGAATTCGAGTTTTGCTACAGTAAAAAACTCTCTGAAACATTCACATCTAATTTTTTTTACTACAATAAAAAATTTTCACATAAAATTACATCTCAACTCGAATTAAAAACTCAAATCAGCGAACTAAATAGACCTTAATAATATAACCTGTTAAATTTTTGTTTTAGTTATTAACCTCCACTGGTATGAATTTATAGTCCCGTCACTTCCTTTCACATCTAGCTAGGAATAATTATGGAGCTATAAGAATCTCATAATAAAAAAGCTTACTGAAAAAAGTTAAAAAAAAAAAAGAAGAAGAAAGGTTAATACAAGAAAGAAAATTAAGCAACAATCCAGGAAAATGTAAAACAAAATGCACAATGTTTGGTAGATGAGAAAGTAAGGTAAAAAAAAAAAATGTTTAATCTATTTATTTTATAGTTGTCGAGTCAAAATGGCTATTTGACATACTATTTGCTTTGGCAAATATTTTATTTTCCTCTTTTCTTTTAAAAATTTGAAAGATTAAAAAGTAGTGAACATTGTAACAACTTCTTTTCTTTTTCATTTTCCTCTTTACGAAACAACCAAAGATTTTACACGCGTTTAGAACTCATTTCAAAATAATTTTATTTTTTGTATAAAAATAAAAAAGAAAACGTTTTCAATCTCAGAGAGAAATTATTTTTAAAAATGCGTTTAGTAGTTTTATCAAGAGATTATTTTCAGTGTAAAAAAACTCATTAATGTCTCTATTTCTCTCTCACTACTCCAGAAAGGAAAAAATAAAAATAAAAAATGAAAAACGATTAAAAGTCATTTTTCATTTCTCTCTCATTTTACACTAAACCAAAATATCGTTTTCATTTCTGTTTTTTGTCTTTATTGCGCCAAACGCCGTTTTGAGAACATTTTTATTTTTTCTTTCTCAAAAAACGTAAAAAAAAAAACGGGATCAATTCTAAACATGACCTTTATTTTCTTCTCCAAAATCCGTGCTCCGATTTCTTTCCTAGCCCTTTCTTACAAACTTACCATTAAAGTGGTAGCTTAGAGGCAATAAGCTTACTCTCTGGTGATTTGATAGATATGAGAGATCTTAGGTTTGACTCTCATGAGCAGTGTTTGAGACTATTTTTAGACTACCGGCTCAATATTTATTAATCTTTAATGGGAACGAAGAGATAAAGTGTGAGAATCTACTCAGTCATATTATGTTTAGAGATACATAGAGAGATAACTATGACTGGTTTTCCCTCTTCACTCTTCTCTAGAGCAATTTCAAATGAACAATAAGACAGCAAAGAACCAACAATAACTGACATTTTCATTAAACCCCAAATGTCAGCAGGATAGTGACATTTGCAATGCATAATCAAACAGATCACAATAGACAGCAAAGATCAAATATCATATACATGTTTAAAGAGGGCACAATCTATAACTATATATTAGACAATACACTGCATATTTTTAGTATTATGTGTGTTTAGCCGGCTTCATGGTAAAATGTTCTTCTCGCAGGATTAGCTGCCAAATTTTAGGTTATTTTTACATTAAACTGGTGCTTTTAAACTTTAAGGTCATTATCAATTTATTTTATAAATTTTAAAAGCTCTCACTTTGTCTCATGAATTTTGATTGTTCTCACTTAATCCTTTTTATTATAATTTATGTTAAAAACACAAAAAAAAAAAAAAGATAGTAATGCAATCGCGTGATATTTATGTTTAAATTTTTGTTAGAAACAAACATATAATAACCATATGAAAACACTTAACCTCTTTTTTTTGGTCTGATTTTAATAAAAATTGCAATAGAAAGAGTTAAGTAAGAACAATTTAAAATTTAAGAGATTAAGTGAGAGTTTTTAAAATTCAAAAATACTAGAAGTACTAGTGATAATAATCTTTTATATTACGTAGATGCAGATTCCAACGTTGTTGAATATTCTCCAAACATCTTTGAATTGAATTCCCATCTGTATTCCTTTTTTTTTAATTTACAAAGTCAAACGCTTTTGTTTTGTTTGTTTGTCTTTTTTGTTTTTTTTTTTTTACAAAAGCTTTTTACATAGTACAAAAGCTTAGAAACAAACACTTTTTGATGAAATATTGCCAAAGGAAAATTAGCGTACCAGCTGCTCCAAGTCATGCACAATTGTAATAAATTAACGAATTGATGTTGTAGCAGAAATCCATGGTCTTGAAATATATATAATAACATTCAAACAACCTATTATATATTACATATTATAATACTATAATACACTCTTTTATGGTTTTTCTTGTACATGTTCTGCCAATTACTACGTGACAAAAGTATTAGTTAATACTGGAGTTGTTCATAGTTCATACACAAGTAGGACCTTCCTGTAGGAAAGAAAAATAAAGCCTATTAAAAGCTTTGTCTTTGCAGTCGTACCAAATGCAAAGCTAGCTCATTTGAAAAAAAAAAAAAAAAAAAAAAAAAAAAAAAAAAAAAAAAAAGAAGCAACTGGCTAAGACCTAGTTCATTTCACCGATTCGAGTTTTCAATTCTAAGTTTTTACAGTTAAAAGTTCTCAGAAAATATCATATCTAATTTTTTTCTACTACAGTTAAAAACTCTCAGAAAATGTTACACCTCAACTCAAATTGAAAACTCGAATCCGCGAAGCAAACTAAGCAATTTCACCCTGATGATACAACATAAGGGCACTATTGGGGTGGAAATTCACAGCCCTAATGACCCTGTAGGCTTCAGCCATTCTTCCGTCATTTCTTACCGAGGGGTATACCGAGAGTCCATGTGTGAAAGGTACTTGGACGCTCAAGTCTGATAACAACAAGATTATAATAGACTTTAGAGTGAATATAAAGGATGTAGAAATGAATTCAAAGTACACCTAATATTGGGTACTCTTGGCCTATTTCGATATCTCTGTCATTTTTGACAAAGAGTGTTAACACCTCAGTGGAGATTGGACACATGTCATAGTGCCAACCCCTTCAAAGGAGGCCTTGACTTGAATTTTGATTTGAGTCCCTCAAGTAGGGTTGACAATCTGAGTAGCGACACGACGATACGATTTGAAATTCGCACGAAGTTAACTGGTTTAGGTTTACTAGAAATGAAGTTGGGTCATAATCAGGTTGACACGATTAACACGATTAATAAATGAGTTAGATTAGGGTTGATCTCCTAAACGAAGTGACACGAATTGACACGATCAACTATATGTATCATCTGCAATCTAATGACATGTAATATAACATGAAAGTTTATATGACATATTAAATACAAATAATGTGAATTTAATATTTGTAGGTAAAATTCATTTATTTTTCTTAAAGGAAAAAATAAATTGACCAATAAACATGTTAAATCTGTCATGACTGTTAAATAAGTTATTGTTATATTAGTTATTTATTCAATATATTAATTTAAACGGGTTGACACGATTAACACAATTAATAAATGGGCCGTGTTTAGGTTGACATTTTTTACACGCTTAATAAACATGTCATATTTGAGTTAATATTTTCTGACACGATTAATAAACGGATTGATACGAACACGACCTACTAACACGAATTGTCACTCCTTACCCCAAGTGATCACAACCCCTTCATGGGGTGGGGGTAAAAATCCTCTCGTTTTCACCCCTCGAGAGGGTCAACATTTAATTCACCACGACCTTCTTGAGTATAGACATATAACTCAATGTAGAATTGACCATGACCCCATTTGAAGGTTGAGGTGGCTCAACCTTGACACCCTCTTTGACTCGATCCCCTTTGTGAGGGGTCAAGTAGACCCTTCGAGTGGATCAAGGTGTGCCCTCATTTGTAAACAATTTTTGGATTAATCATTCTAATTGCTGGGACCAAATCACGTTCTAATTAACGATTTTATTCACGTCATTACTCTATATCATCTGTATAATTAAATTATAAATAATTATACATTTTTGTGTCAAGAGCGATCTCATAAGTAGACATTTTGTTACTTTACTGTCTTTGTATTTTTCAAAATGCGTATTCCTAAAATGTTACATTCTAATACCCCAAAAATTAGCACCGTTGAACTAATTACAAACTTACATGTCAAGTATGCGACTAACTGATTAAGACACATGGTCCCACACACTTTTATATAAACCAGTAGTAAATTAGTAATGATCATCAAATTTTTCTATAAATTCCAAATATCTCTCCCTCCGAGCGATATTGAACATTACATTTTGATAATTATTAAAGACCCGTTTGGTTTATGAGTTTAAATCTGTGATTCTTAATTTTAATTTTTAAAATTTATATTTTTTATAAAAAAATATTATAATAAAATTAAAATTATGAATTTAAGCACATGAAACCTTTAGTAGTAGTTCCACTGAAGAATCCACTGAAGAATTTGAACATTATTCATGTCTTTCTTTGCCAAGAACCTTGATTTGTCCTCGTCATCATCCTTTTGTCTTTGTCCAACCATTTATTGGTCTATGTGGTCCATGTTGTCAAGCAGACGCCAACTATTGCCGGCCGTTTGATCACTTTGTTGTCTTTCTCTCCCTCTTCTACTCACTAATATTACTATCATTAGTGTTCAATGGCTTGATTTTTTTTTTAATCCACTAAATTTGTGTATTTATCCACTAAATTTGTTTTAGAGGAAAGGTAAACATAAGTGATTATGGAGGAAGCTAGGAAGTTGGAAGAGGGACTTGGGAACAACACAACACTTGCCAAGGAAGAAAATAACAGGGAGATTATTAGCCATGTAGCCCATAACAAGGAAGCGATCGATAAGAGTGATGGCCGGGATGTCGACGAATGTCACGATCAAAACGCTGCAAAGAATGAAAAGGCGGCGGAGGAGACTCCATTAGTGAAGCAGAAGAGCAAGAGAGTTGCAACCTTGGATGTCTTCAGAGGGCTCACCATTGTGGTATTTGTGATAATTCTCAACAATGAACTTATTGCATATGTTTGAGTTTTTCTTTCTTGGGAAAGTACAGGAATTATTTAGACCTCGTTCATTTTGCAGATTTGAATTTTCAATTTGAGCTGAGATGTGATATTTTCTGATAGTTTTTAACTATAGCAGAAAAAGTTAGATGTGACATTTTCTGATAACTTTTAACTGTAAAAACCTAAAACTAAAAACTCAAATCGGTGAAATGAACGAGACCTTATATTAGTTTAACAATCTAGTAGTGAACCAACATGTGTACTAATATTGTAGCGTGTATATATATATATATATATATATATATATGTATGTATGTATGTGTGTATATGTAGTTGATGATACTGGTGGATGATGCTGGGGGAGCATATTCACGGATAGACCACTCACCATGGAATGGTTGCACATTGGCCGACTTTGTGATGCCTTTCTTTCTCTTCATTGTTGGGGTTGCTATTGCTCTTGCTCTCAAGGTAGGCTCTTCTAACTTCTTGTAGTTTTTAACTGCAGGGTCTATAACTTATGTGAGATGTGTGTTATATATATGTGTGTGTTAAGTATGTATGTATGTATATAAAATATGAAACTAAATTATAAAAGCTTCATTTTGTATTCAAGTGAAAATAATACAATATTCAACTTTATTTTAAAAGGGATTGTCAATATGAAGATGTATACTTTGTAAATTTTGAGAGGTTAAATGCCACATTTCACTTTAACACATAGAAGGCTTTTGTAATTTTTCACATGTAACATGGAGATTATTGAATATCCGTCTTAGTAATTGGTTTTCTTTGCAAACAAAATCCTTCTCAAGAATATCAATATGGCTCATTTTTTTGGTTGTGCAGAAAATTCCCAAGATCAAGGCTGCTGTCAAAAAAATTGTCCTAAGGACGCTAAAGCTTCTCTTTTGGGGAATTCTTTTGCAAGGTAATAAAAGAATGGAAAAAAAAAAAAAAAAAAAAAGTTCTTTCCTTGTTACTCAAGATAATAATTAGTCTTTTTAAAGTAAACTTCAGTTTACTATATAAGACTTTTGTTATTGTTAATGCACAAAGACTTATTTGTCAAGAAACTAGTAAGTTTACCAAATGTAGTTCAGGAGGATACTCCCATGCCCCGGATGAGCTATTATATGGAGTTGACATGAAGCAAATTCGCTGGTGTGGGATCCTCCAGGTCATGTTTCTTCAGCCTTTTTTCTTTTTTTATGTCATCTCTAAAAAAAAAAACTTGTCCCTGCAAGTCTTCTCATACTCTTTTTTTGTTCATTAATTTTTCCTTAAGCAGAGAATAGCTTTGGTATACTTAGTTGTAGCTTTGATAGAGACATTCACTACCAAACATAGACCAGCCGTTGTAGAATCCGGTCCCATCTCCATTTTCACCGCGTACCGATGGCAATGGTAAGTGATTCAGGCGATTTAAGTACGGTGCGTTTCTAAACGTCAGATCATACCAAAATCACAGTATAATGGAATCGCGGTGTTTTTTAGTCCTCCCGTGGAATTCCCTAGTATTATCAACCGTCTCCTTTTTTTTTTTTTTTTTTTTTTTTTTTGGCTAAGCACTAAATAACCAAAACAGCTAGTGTTAATGAGAGTAAGCGTGAGAAAAATAGGAAACATGGATAAATTCCCGTTCATTTCATTGATTCGAATTTAGAATTCGATTTTGCTACAGTAAAAAGTTCTCACAAATAATCACATCTAACTTTTTTGCTACAGTAAAAAGCTCTCACATAAAATCACATCTCAATTCGAATTAAAAACTCGAATCAACGAACTAAACGGGCCATATTAACCATCCAGGATTGGAGGGTTCGTGTCATTTGTTATTTACATGATCACAACATTTACACTATATGTTCCTGATTGGAGCTTTGTGTTACACTACGATGAAGGAGCAGAGAAATACACGGTATGTAATTATATATATTTCCTATATATATATACAACAAATATATAAAGTTTCACCATTATATGACTTGTCTCATATATTCTACTAGTCATTTTTTTTCCCTTAATTTTCAGGTTAAATGTGGAATGAGAGGACACTTAGGACCTGCATGCAATGCAGTTGGGTACGTAGATAGACAGGTTTGGGGTGTTAACCATCTCTATTCTCAGCCTGTTTGGAGACGCTTAAAGGTGATTACACATATTTAATAATGGTTTTTAGTCATGTTATGGAGATAAATTTTAATTGAGATTATTATTATTATTATTTTTTATTTTTTATTTTTGGTTTTGAAAACTTGTAAGGCTTGCACACTTAGCTCTCCGACATACGGACCCCTTCGTCGGGGCGCTCCGATCTGGTGCCTTGCTCCGTTCGAACCCGAAGGCTTATTGAGGTTTGTTGATTTACAACTCCACAAACAAATTGAGTTCAAAAAGAGAAATTTTATTTACAATTTTGGAGTTTCAAGAGGTTCATATGAGATAATTATGAGCATGGACTTAATTGGTTTTTCATTTCTGTTTTAGTTCAATCTCAGCTATCCTTTCTGGGACTATTGGCATCCATTATGGACATGTTTTGATCCATTTCAAGGTTAAGTACTCTATTATATTTGTGCAATATAAAATACAATTTATAATATGAAAATTTTTTGGTTGGGTATAAGAAAATATCCCCATGTACTCGTGTATTTTCGTCAATTTCTATTAAATTCACATATTTTATTATTTACGAAAATACTATTAAATTCCCATATTTTATTATTTTGGCATAATTTTGTTCTAATCTAGCGATTCAAACCTCAACAATAGCCCAAAACATTTTTATTTTACCTTACCAGAAAATTTTCCTTATTATGCATAGTTTCTATAGTATATGAGTGAAAAATTTTGGGGTTCAACAAAATTGATGAAACTGGAGTACTAAATGCAGGGTCACTCTGAGAGGCTTAAGCATTGGGTTTCAATGGGGTTTGGCTTACTTATCATAGGCATAATTCTTCATTTTACTGATGGTAAATTTCTTCCTTCAACCTGGCTGCCTATGTATTTATGTGTTTGAGAAATTGTTAACGGTGAAAATTCGTCGATAAGGATTTAGCCTCGCCACGAATCAGATACATAAGAAATGGTGCCTTTTTCTTGTTTATTTTGCAGCCATTCCCATCAATAAACAACTATACAGCTTCAGCTACGTATGCTTCACAGCCGGTGCTGCCGGAATAGTATTCTCCGGTTTCTACATAGTGGTAAGAAAACATCACTTTAAACCCCTCTAAATTCATACACTTGAGCATTGCTAAAGAAAAGATTAGAAAGATTTAAGTGATGTAAGAGCATACTTGAATTTGGGAGTGGTCTATGTGGCTTGCAGGGGTATTCAAAAAATCCGACAAACCGCGAAAACCGTCTAATCCAAAGTAAACCGAACCAAATCGTTAATTATTTTTAGATTATTGGACGGTTTGGTCAGTTTTTTAATCTGATTTTTTTAGACAGTTTGGTTTGTAATTTGGACTCCCCAAATTTTTAATCCAAATTTTTTAATTTTTAAAATATTTTTTTATATTTATTTTAATTTTTATTGGTCATACTAGAGGTTTTACACTTACAAAATACACTATATCATATTTTTGTTAGTTTGTATTAAAACTTTAAATGGTGAACTTTTAGAAATTTACTATTTTCATTTTATATTGTAAACTTGAATCTTGTTTTTATTTTTATTGATTAACGAGGGTCTAAACCGACCGTGAACACCCTTAGTGGCTTGAGCCTCAAAGAAGTGTCTGAACCCGTTTATTGAGTGCCCGACTCCTTGAAATAAGGGCCCAAATGAGTAGGTGGATTTCCGAGTTAGATCTTGAGTTGTGTTTAAATAATTTGATTACATCTTTCCTATCAGTTACAACTTTTGGGAAGAATAGTTGTTCACTCCTACATCACTGAGTTAGGCTTGTCTTTCTCATAAAGGGTGAGGCCAACCTTACTGAAATGTGACCCACCTCATAAGAGAGAAGTGAGCTCGGCACGTGCTTGCTCTTTATTTTTTATCCCTTGATAAATGGGATTGCGTGAGTTTTTAAGTCTTAAAATTGACATGAATTTGTGATTAGTTGAAAACAAAATAACATTCATTAGTTACACGATAGGTAACATTTTTTTTTTTTTTTTGCTTCTCTTTCATGTTGGTTTTTGTGATCATGAATAGATTGATGTTTGGGGGCTTCGGACGCCATTTTTATTCCTGGAGTGGATTGGATTGAATGCAATGCTTGTATTTGTAATGGCGGCACAAGGCATCTTTGCAGCATTCTTCAATGGATGGTACTATGAAAACCCAAATAACTCCATAGTGAGTACACACCAAATTAAGTCTTTTATTTTTTTATTTTTGTTGTTGTGCTAATTATATTCTTGGGAGAAAAAGAGAAATAAGCAAAGACTTGAGATGAATTAAAATTAATAGGCTAATAGTTTACATAAGTTAATAAATATGCCAAATTACTATTTTCGTTCATAACTTGTCTGGTTATGAACCATAACTTGACAAGTTATTCCCGATTTTTGTTCATAATTTGTCTGGCTATGAACTATAACTTGACAAGTTTGTCCATAACTTATCTGGTTATGAACCATAACTTGACAAGTTATGGCCTATTAATTTCTATAACTAAAAGTTGGCCTATATACTTTCTTAAGCTTTTCATATTGGTCTATTTCCTATTATTTCTCAATATTCTTTTTATCTGCATAATTTTTATGGAAAGAAAAAACTGAATGGAGAAAACAAATTATTAACAGGTACATTGGATTCAAAAGCATGTCTTTATCAACGTTTGGAACTCTGAGAGGCTAGGAACCCTCTTGTATGTCATATTTGCAGAAATCACATTTTGGGGTGTAGTTGCTGGCATCTTACACAAATTGGGAATTTATTGGAAGCTCTAACCCACACAAAAAAAAAAAAAAAAAAAAAAAAAAAAAAAAAAAAAAAAAAAGATCAATGGTAGGCTTATTTTTGTCTGTGTTGTAATGAAGTTGTCCTTTCTCTTTTATTTTTTTTTTCCATGAAAAATACTTGAAAGCACCGCTAGTACTAAGCACTACCATTAATAAAAAGTGAACCCAACCCGTAGACTCGTACTGCGATACTCACTTTTTATTAGTGGCTGGAGCCCTGTAGCATTATTCGTTTTTGTTAATTCTGTCATTTGTTATACTAAAAATGTAATACAGTGAACTACTTATGGAATGTGATACCGTGGGGTTTATTTTCCTTTTATCTCGCTCTTTTTTATATTTTTATTATTTGTTGGTTACCAATAGTAGTTGTTCAGTGAATAATCACAGTTTTGTCTAGCTGAAGATTTAAATCTAGTAGAAAGTGATGTTTTACATTTGTATATAAAATCTAGATCACAAAATTTTAGCAAGCCAACCATACAAGAGATTAGAGGCCACTGAAGTGACATAGTATCTTCATAAGGATAGGACTTGTTCTACTTAATAATATATATGAACCAATAACTAAGAAAAGTGATAAATGTCTTATTTGTTAGCTACAATTTTTTTTTTCAACTTTATAAATAAATAAAAAAGTGAGAAATGGAATTTTTTTTTCCAGCCATACATAAACCCATCTTAAAGTCTTGTAATCAGTGAAGCAGAAAACTCCACAACGTTTAGCCACAAAAGACACCATCTATCCTTGTCAAAATTAAAATTTCAAAATACACAAGTACAATCCAAAATAGGAATCATCCGTTCCGGAATAGAATAATTAAGACATTAAAGTTGAGATATATATATATATATATATATATATATATCAACGGATTGTAAATTTAAGTTTGAGATTAGGAAGACAAAGGTCCCACTTTCTCTTCTTTGGGCCATGAACAACAAAAATAAGGCCAATCAAAGATCATCAATGATGTTTTACCCCATTCTTTTGTTCAAATATCTTCCCCAAAAGAAAATATCTATATTTGAACAAATATATTCACTACATTTGGCAAAACAACAATTATCATGAGAATCTTGACCTATAAAAGTACAAAAGCCAACAAGAAACACTACACACATTTGTTTATCAAGGTATGGACTGCAATAAGATGGAAAATTCCAAGATATTTCTTATGAAGTTTTTACCCTTTTGTTGATACTTCTTATCCTTTTTAGGGATAGAAGGTGGTGTACTTGATTAATTCTATAATAGGACTCACTCGAATACAAGATCTTAACATTCTGGTGATCAATGAAACGTGATTCTATTGTCCCATTTTTACAAGAGCATAATTTCAGATAGCATAGAACACCAACTAGAAAACCGGAATATATTTACCTCTGTACAATGATTTTAAGCATACAACGACGTGAGAACTTCACTCTTTCTTCTCTATATTCTTGCTGCTTTTTACTCCCCCTTTTTTTTTATACTACAAAGTTAGCATGAAAAGAAAGCCGGGCCTTCTAGTAACACACCTATATCTATATGTATATTCATCATTTACACATCTAAGAGCTAGAAGGTAGCAGGGATAAGTGTGCTGTACAGGAGCTCATGGCAATCTCCGAGTGGTTTCATATTTGCATTTGTTGAGAATCACTCCCAGCCCATCAACATCTTCCACACTTTTCCCTCGATCGCGTTTCTCGGAACAGACGAGATGTCTCCTTCATCAAGCAAGACTCTGTAGACCTCCCATTCCCGACCTCCGATCATATGTCTCCGAATCTCTGCCTGAAGAAACAATCAGCAAAATAACTTGTCAATATAGCAGAATTCTTCAATAAATTGTAAGTCATGAAGACCAAGTATATTTTGCATATACGGAAAATGTCAAGTGTGGTGACAATACTAATGCTTTTAAGGCCAAACCAGGGAAAGCTAAATACTATAAGAAAGATCAGCAAGTACCAAAAAGATGCCCGTGTTGAGCATCTTTAGCGCAAGGGTGATGTCATAGAAAACAAGAGGCCGGCCCTTGCCAGATAACTCCACGGGGTTTGTAACGAACAGCTCTGTCTCAGGACCCCGGCTAAGAACAGCAACTCTGAGAGGACGGAGTAGTTCCAGTCGCAACCGAGATGCCAATGATTTCTGCTTGCTCGGATCAACTATCTTCTTTCCATCAACTTGCATAATGAACAGATCAATCTCACATTGCCTTCTTTGTTTTACAGTGAACCGTCCATATGAAATCTGCTTGCACAATACATTTCGGATATTAAATCCACATTTCATGCAAATATTCAGTATCATTCAAAGATAACTAATTCATTTACCTGGATGTTGTACTCCTTAAGAGTCCTCATTATGTCGTAAAGGAGACCTTTGTGATCTTGGCAAATGATTTGGACGAGTGTGTGGGAAGGACTCAACAAGTTGTCAAATGCGATGGAAACACTGCTTGAAGTGAGTGTTCCACTTGGAAGTTGATTTGGCATTTCTAGTACAAATGTGTCTTCTGTGATTGCAGATGGAAGAAAAGAAGACGCCTGTGAACAGGCCGTGATTTCAGAACCGACCTTTTCTACATCACAACTTATCATCGCATCCCCCAAAACGGCGTTCAAGCACTCACGTGTCTCTTTCCTCCTCTCATTAGTATGTAGAAGCTCCCTGACAAGGACACGTGATCAAGAAAATCAGTTCACATTTTCGAACCACAGAACTGCAAGAAAATGTAGTGCAGGACTCAAATCTGAAACATCAAAACATCCGTTTTAGCCTCCACTAATGTCTTCTAATCACGTCACTATGGATGCTTGATCTCACAGTACTTGAAAACTTGGATTCGGAATGTTTATAGTCTCGTATTCACACAAACTTAAGGAAGAATTTTGATCCTTTGGAGACGGTGTTATTCCTTTTTGCAACAATAAAGGTTGGGATGTTTTTGCCAACATGTAAACTTGCACACTCCATTTACATACTGCCATGGTTCGGTATCAGTTTGGAGATATTTGGAAGTAATAATAAAGCATATGATTAGGACTTCCATAACTAATAAGAGAAGCTAGCAAAGAACCCATTATATTTGAGGAAAGACAACCTGTAATTGTATAGAATGAGAATTTGCTACCTGGTGTCTGTGATGAAAAACATATTTATGGCTCTCCCATCCGGGGTCGTCGAAACCTTCACTTTCTTTATAGTCAACTCGAACTCACAAAGAACCCTTGTCACATCTGCCCATTGCAGAATTTAACAAAAGAATGAAAACCACCAAATTAGTCACAAACATAAATCATCTCATTGTTCATCACCCAGATACCCAATAAACATTCCCATGACAACCTTAGAGACCTAACAACACAAAATGGGGCTCAAAAGGCTATAGCTCTACTTATTTTTATTCTTTATAAGAGTTTTTTTTTAATCTAAAAAAAAAATTCACATTTCTTTCATAGAAACACCAAACCATAAATCAACATGGTTATAAACTGGACATTCCAAAAAACATGTACACAGACATAAACAGAATTACCATGTAAAAGGCCTCTTCGGTCATGACAACACAAGGTCAAGAGAAACACATCAGGAGGCTTTGGCGGCCGCACTTCGGAGCGAAAAAAGGAGATTTCAGAGGCTGAAAAACAAGAAGGACAGGCCTCAACTAGCCTTCTCTTCAACAAATTCCACCGCGTCTCCGATTTCCCAATCACCCAGAACACCAAGTAGCACCATTTCCCATCCGTAGACACATCTTCAAAATAAATAAATAAATAAAAATTAATCAAAAAAAAAAAAAAGAAACCATCTTGTTTAGCATACATACTAATAAAAAATCTCACTTGCCCATGTCTTGTTTCACAGAAATAAACAAAAAATACATCTTTTTTTAAACAAACAGAACCCAGATTATATTATATTCTTGCAATATGAATATATATTGGAACGTTAAAAATAAATAAATAAAAAAGACCCATCTAGTTTATCACACATACTAATCAAAAACCAAAAAGCAAACTTTGTTCCTCCCAGTGTATGCCCAGCAACCAAATAGAACCCAGATTATATTATATTATATTATATCCATGGAATATGAATACATAGATACATATACAGACATCGCAGCTATATTTCTATATATAGTGGTTACCTCCTTTGACAATGCTAAGACCAAAGAAGAGAATGATGCGACACAAATCACAGCCCAAGCCGGTCTTGTCAGGGCAGTTTATTGTAATCTCTGTTGGCGCTCCTTCTTTCTCTGATTGCCTTATTATCACCACGTCCTCTTGTAATACTCCCATATCTTCTTCTTCTTCTTCTTCTTCTTCTTCTTCTTCTTCTTCTGAGCTGTTAATTAATTTCTTGGTTGTTGTTTTTTAGGAGAAAAAAAAAAGAGAATGGAAAAACAGAAGAAGAGAGTTTTACTATAAGGATCTCTCTACTTTTTTGCTTGCTTTGCTCGCTCTTGTTGTTGTGGTTTCCTTGTCTTAGGTTTTTGCATTTCTTTTATTTTCTTGTTTTGGTCTCCCAGTGAGGGTACTTTTCTATTTATTTATTTATTTCCTAGTGAAGGTACTTGGAAATCAACGGCTGTGTTCTTAAATATTATTACTAGAGAAATATTTTGTAAATAGTAGTCTTCGTTAAGTCTGATGTACCGTTAGATTAAGTTTTTTTAATTAATTTTTATGTGATTTTATATAAATTTAATAGATAAATTACTTAACTTATTGATATATTAATGTATCAGAGAATGTCTTATATAATGAACTATTATATAATGAGTTATTATTATGTTATTGTTAGTAATTTCACAATTATTTTGCATAATTGCTGACAGAATAATAAAATTTAAATATTACTTTCATAATTCAGTGCTATTAATATTTTTCCCTATAATGAATTCTAAACTCGAATCAGCGAAACGAACGAGGCAAAAAGAAAGACCCTTTTTTTTGCTGAAAATTAAAAAATATATATTTGGATATGCACCTTGTTGTTGTTGGTTACACAGTCGCGTTACCCTTATATTACCATTTTTGCCCTTCAATTTTCACTTTTTGTCATTCACTTGTTTCTTTCCTTTTTCACCCCCCTTTTTGACAAATGCTATTACATAACAAGATTAGGAGATCTGTAAACCAAAAATCATCCACAACACCGTCAAGGACAAACTCAAGCAAGTTGAACATAGAAATAAAAATAAAAAGTGGAGAGACCACTTCCGTTATTACAAAACAAAAACAAAAATAACAAATCAAAACACAGATTCTAAGAGACAGAAAACACATCACCATTATTTGTAAACCACCATAAAATGGAGATGAAACCCTAATACTACAGGAAAACACCCTATTAGAAGACAATCCGTGCAGTCAAAAAAGCCGAGTTGCATAAATCTGTACCAAGCCGGAGTTATCACAAATGAAATGCTAACAAGCCGCTGCGTGAAGCCACACAAAGCCGCCAATGACCACCCATCTCGATTCTCGACACATAAAAGGGTAGCCAAACGCCGCTACCGGAATGCAGCCCTAAGAGAGAGACACTCAAGAAACCCTAGCACCCCTCAAGCAAGAGAGAGAGAGACACTTAAGAACACCCCAAGACGATCAAAGGTATTTGGTGGAGATAATAGTTACTTCTTAGAGTTTCATATTTTCATATACTTGTGCCAAAATTTTCATACTACTATATTTTAATTCAGTTTTTTCAAAAAGATATTTTAATTCTTTTTTTATTGATTAATCTTTATCAATTTCTAAAGGTCAATGCGTTTTTTAAGGGGTGGTAACGAAACTGGTGAAATGTTTTCCCCCTCTCTTTTTTTCTTTTGCTTTTTGTTTTTTCTATTTTTATCCTCTCTCTATTTTTCTCCTTTTCATTTACCTTATTATGCATTTTTCTTTCTTCTTTTTCCTAAATAGACCTTCATAAATATATTTTTCTTTCTAATTTCCTGTTAAAATAATCTTTCCTCATACATATTTATGTCAAGTTTTTTAAACCTTCTTTCCGTATTGACGAATTGTTCCCGGAAGTGAGGCTTTTTTCTCTTTCTTTTCTTTTTTTGTCTTTTTTTTTTCAGTTTTTATCTTCTTTACTCTATTATACATTCTTTTTTTTCCTTTCTCCAAATAATATCCTAATAAACATATTTTTCATTCTTATATATTTACAGAATCTCGCACGCATACGCGCGCAGTTTCAACTACTTGTAAAAAAAATGTTATAATCAAAAAGTATTTCCCATATGAAAAGGTTTTTTAAATGTAAGTTTTATCTTTTACTAAAAGGGAAAAAAATCCCAACTTTCAAAATATTACCAGTTGGTGCAATAATTTCTCAAATCTTCCATTTTTACCAACTAGGGTTTTTTTTTTTTTTTGTAAAAAATTGTTGCCTATTAGGAAATCAAAAGGACAAGTAAAAATCGGTTAACAAATGGGAAAATAATTGCAAAACAAAAAGATGTAAGATCTAAAAAGAAACTTTAAATCCATTAAAAAAGTTTAAAAATTGCACGAGAAGATAATGTGTATATTAAGTTGAGTATCACTTTAAAATTTATAACTCGGTTGTTTCATGCATTTAAATTTATAATTGTGATTCTGTTATAATATTTTTCTCTCATAAAAAATTTAAATTTAAAAAAATTCTCGCTAACGATCCTCTTACAAAATTTAAATTTAAAATCAAAATTATTTATGAACCAATTAAGAGTGCCGGCTCCACTTCAAGGACATTTAGGCAATGGCTTAAGCCTTAAGGCTTCACATCCAAACAAGGCCCTATAATTGAGGTATCATTTACTCTACTAATTTCTTACATTATTTTTATTGTTTAATAATTATTTAAATTAAATATTAGTCCTTTTTAAAAGAAGATGCAACTTTTTGAGCATCACATTGAATTTATTAGTCCTTTATTTTTTATTAATATCATTTTAGTCAAATAATTATATTGATTAAAAGAGTATTAATCTAGAATATATGTTGTTTAGTAAAAGAGATGAGAAGTTGAAAGAATATGTGATAATTTTTTATTTAATTATTATATTATCCATTTTACTATTTGTTAATAATTACTTTTAAAAGGTAAAAAAATATTTTATTTTAATTTTAAATAAATTAATTGGATTCTTTTATCAGGATCTAAACATACTAACAAGTTCAATAATTTTCTCCATATTGAATTGCATTTTCTAATACTAAAAGCATGGATTCTTATCCAAAACGTAAGTAGAGCACACAACATCATCAGGTGGTGATGACATGGCTCAACCATATTGGTCTGTCTTTAAAATATATAACATGTTTAGTTCGTTGATTCGAGTTTTTAATTTGAGTTTAAATGTGACTTTATGTGAGAGCTTTTTACTGTAGTAAAAAAATTAGATGTGACTGTTTCTGAGAACTTTTTACTATAAAAAAACTCAAATCGGTGAAATGAACGAAACCTATATTATAAAACATGTCGGCATCGCATTCACTTATTTACGGATAACTTGGAACCATCTCATCAGACGATATATCGGACGGAAAATATAGCAAAATCTCTTAGCCGCCAGCCATCACGTGTCGGTTTAATATTATTAAATTATTATTTGGTTTTTGTTGATTACAATTTAAGTTATAATTTTTGTTTATTATTTTCTTAATGGATGGTCCCCATCACGGGAAGCAAAGTTCCTTCGTCAATTCTCTCCCTACTTTCTCCAATCTTCATTTAAAATTAGTTGCCTTTTTACATGCACTCTTACCTAATTTTCTCTCTCCTTTTTTTCCCATCAAAGTCTATTAAATATTAAGGCACCAGTTAGTTTGTTGATGTTGATTAGAATTTTTATTTTGAAATATAATTTTATATGAGAGTTTTTTACTGTAGTAAAAAAGTTAGATGTGACTGTTTCTGAGAGCTTTATATTGTAGCAAAATTTGAATTCTAAACTCAAATTGGTGAAATAAACAGGATTTAAAATACTTTTTGTACAATATTATTTTTTTTAATTTATGCATAAAATTTTATTTCCATTTTAGTATTGAAATAAGAATAGAAGAATATTCACAAGGTTTTAATTTTTAGTATTAAAATTTGGGAAATAGTAGAAAATAAGTCAATATGAAAAGCTTAAGAAAGTATATAGGCCAATTTTTAGTTATAGAAATTAATAGGCCATAACTTGTCAAGTTATGGTTCATAACTAGATAAGTTATGGACAAACTTGTCAAGTTATGGTTCATAGCCAGACAAGTTATAGATAATTATGGACAATAACTTGTCAAGTTATGGTTCATAACCAGACAAGTTATGGACGAAAACAGTAATTTGGCCTATTTATTAACTTATGTAAATTATTGGCCTATTAATTTTAATTCATCTCAAGTCTTGGCCTATTTCTCTCTTTCTCTCTTAAAATTTTAAGAGTAAAGACACCCTTTTGTAAGTTGTAAACCCCTATTGTATATCCAAAACGGATTATCGAATGAAAAAGAAACATGTTTTTGTGAACGAAAATTTTTACCATTTTTTTTATGATTAATTATTAAATGCTCAACTAAAAGAATGAGGTCAGGGGCACCATTTCATGACGCTTGATGGAGACAAATATTAAAAAGTAACGTTTATATGATAATGTGATTATTGAATTAAACTGGTGAATACAATTGAAAATCTTGAAAAAGTATATGCAAATTGAAAAAAATAAATGACAATAATAATTGAATAGCATCATTAAGAATCTTTCTATGAATCAGTGTAATGCGCACCTTTGATCATGTACTTGTGCCCTTTTTCTTTATTTTCTAGTATAATGCCCTAAGAATATAAAAATATTACAAAAAAATTATATGATAAACCATGTGATAATTATCACGATTTTTTTATTTTGTTTCTCAAATTTTCTTTTTTTTTGAATTTGAGGATGGAGAATTTAAACTCTTCAATTTATGGTGTGATTAGATGTGAATTACTGCTAGACTATGTCTGCAACCACTTATTTCTCCATTTTTTATCGGGCACTTTATGATCAAATATATTATGAGAAATTTGTAATAAGTTTAAAAATTAAAAGAATGTGTATTTCTCATTCAACTCATGATGTATTTAGTTGTGAATTATCGTTAGATTATACCTGCAATTACTTGTTTCTCCATTTCTTATCGAGCACTTTATGATCAAACATATTATGAGAAATTTGTAATAATTTCAAAAAACAAAAGAATGTGTATTTCTCATTCGGTGAGTTACATTTGCTATGTTAATGGCACATTCAAGAAGTCCATGAGTCATTGTGAGAAATAATACTAACTACCCATTAATAATAAATTGATTCTATGAAATATATACGAAGAACTCTTACCTAACTTAGGTTGTTAAATTGTCAAAGACTAAACCACACCAACCTAGTTGAAAAGAAGAAAGAAACGAAAAGGAAAATTTAGGAAAACCATCAATGCAAGAAATAGAAACAATGCATATGTATATATAACCACACTCATATATATATATATATATATAT